CACAGGGGGGTGTGCAAGAGACACACAGAGCCCTTAGGCTGTCACAGCCTGTCCCCAAGGATGTAGATTGAAGGAATTTCTTGCCAAAAAGTTTTTTTTTTTTTTTTTTTTTTTTTTTTTTTTTTTTAAAAAAAAAAAAAAAAAAAAAAAACCAAACAAAAAAAAAAACAAATCATAGCAACTTTGATTTTTACAGAATTGATTTAATATACTTTACGCTATGTTCACTCTGGATAAGCAAGAGCTCTAGCTACTTCTGGTCCCACTATTATTCCTTCTACAGAGTTCTCTGTTCCCTTTACAACATTGCTATCTTTATTAATTAAAGCAAAAACAAAAACCCCAGGAGATGAGCAGGGAATAGCATTTTAAGCAGGAGCTATAATGTACAAAATAGAATCTACTTTGACAGAGGATCATTAAATTCATTTAAATATATCATTTTCTGTGTGCATGCAGGTGTGCAGTTGTATGCATTTGTGGAGGCCAGAGGCTGACTTGGTATCTTCTGTATCTCGTATAGCTTTCTACCTTATTTTCGTTGTTGTTGTTGATTTTTGGTCTTTTTGCAAGAGGGTCTCCCTGCAGTCCCAGGAGGCCTGGAACTCACAGAGATCCACCTGCCTCTGCCTCTGCCTCCCAAGTTCTGGGGTTAAAGGTGTGTGCCACCAAGCCTGGCCTAGCTTCTAGCTTCTTTGAGACAGGGTCTTTCACTAAACCAGGAACTCTGCTTGACAGACTGGCCAGTGAGCCCCTACAATCTGCCTGTCTCTGCCTCCCAGTGCTGAGGTTATATATAGGCCCATGCCATCACACCTGAGGTTTTTTAACATGGGTTCTGGGGATCTAAACAAAGGTCTTTATGCTTATGTAGCAAGTACTTTACCCAGTGAGCATAAATAAAACAAATAGGTTCATGAAAATGCTGTAAAAGAACTACACAATCTTACTCCCCACTCCCCCGAATACTGGAGAATCAAGCCCAAGGGCTGTGCATGCTACCAAAGTACTCCCTCATGGAGCTACATCCCCAGTTCTGTTTTTAGGTTTCGCAGGGGCAGGGTCTTTTTATGTAGCCCAGGCTAACTTCAGTGGATACCTAGAACTCACTATGTAGACCAAGCTGGCCTTGAACTCACAGAGATCCGCCTGCCTCTGCCGCCCAAGTGCTGGGATCAAAGACAGTGTGCCACCACACCTGGCTTAACTCTAGAGATTTTAACACAACCATTTAAAGTAATAACTGCAGTTCCAGGGGATCTAATACCCTCTTTTGGCCTCTGCAGGCACTGCGTGCACATGGTGTACTTATATGCAGGCAAAACTCATGTACATAAAATACAAATAAATAAAATTTTTAAAAAGTTTTAAGTTCAAGGTTATCTTCAGCTACACAGCCAAGTTTGAAGACAGCTTGAGCTACAGGAAACCCTGCCTCAAAACAACAGCAACCACAGAAAGATAAAGAGAAATACTGAAAGAGAACAAAGCTGCCTTAATACACTTGTACAATTTGTAAAAATACAAAAATATATAAAGGGGAACAAAACAATGAAAAGAATTGTGTAACTACTATGGATAGAATTTTAAACAACCTCTAGAACTTTGAAATTTTGATTAAACAAATTTTAAAAAAATACAGAGAATTTTAAAAGTACTTCTTAAGTACTTATTTAAATGTACTTATTTAATATTTTTTAAAGTAAACATAAACTTACTTGTTTTAACTGACTCCGCCTTTTTGACAAAAGCATAATGTTTTCATTAAGTAAATCCCATTCTTTGGCCTCATAGCACATTTTCACTACTGCAACCAAGATGCGGGACGTGGACACCATATCGGAGGCCTACAAGAATGAAAATACATTGAAAGTAAATGCTTACTAATGTTAAATGAAATGAATGGCAACCGAGGTTTTCACTATAATCTACTTACAGTGCGGGTCTGTTTTTCTAAGGAAAGAAGGGTTTCAATGACTTCTTGAAGTCTTCCTTCCTGAAACAAGATAAAAATCAACAATGAAAAATCAACACAAACACAACCCAAATATCTGACCTAAACAGATGTTTTTGACACAGAAAAGGAAAAACCAATGGCCCATTCTAAAGGAAAATACTATCCATAACTGCTCTGGTTTGTTTGTCCATTCATGACAGTGCCTGCTTCTCCAGGGATTCCTAAGGTTAGGGATTCTCTATGGGACCCAAGCTCCTCCTCCTCCTATTCTTTCTTTCTTTCTTTCTTTCTTTCTTTCTTTCTTTCTTTCT